CCTTCATGCGCAGAAGTTGTACGTGAGATCCGACTGTTGCCAGTGAATAATGCCGCAGGAGCGGATAGAATCCATCCAGCTCTCTACAACTTCGTGGGATCTGCTCTTGTAGATGGTCTGCACAACTTACTTGTGAAACTGTGGTAGCAGGAAATTGTCCCAGCAGACTGTTGCTCCATACTAACAAAAATTTACCAGGGAGGATCTCGTTCGGGATGCGGCAATCAGAGAAGTATTAGTCTTATCTCAGTTCCTTCCTAAGGTACTCGCGTCTGTCGTTCTTCATAGACTTTCTGGCACACGTGAAAGCTGGATTCAGGAGGAGCAAGCCGGCTTTTGTCGCAGCCGCGGTTAGTTGTTGGATCACCGCCATATTTATCAGCGAGCCACTGTAATCATGTGACTCGATATCAAAGGTGCTTTAGATTCGTTTGATCGATGTACGCCTTGGGGCTGTCTACTTAGGAGATGGGTGCCCGAAAAATGCGTAAAGATTACCAGAGACCTCTAGACGCACAATTCGGGCAGAGTAAGGGTTTATGGAAAACTGTCGCCGACCTACAATATCTTCAACGGTTGGAGAAAAGAATGCCCGCTGTCAATTTTCCTTTTTAACTTCGCCATCGGCGTAGTCATGGAAACTGCGTTCACCGGACACTACCTCGAGGCGTGGAGCTGCTCCCTGGTGAAGGACTTGACATGGAGTACGCCGACGACATTGCTCTCATCTGTGACAGCGCCCAAACGTGCCAAGTAGCATTGGACAAATTAGCATTGGCTGTCAGTCGTTTCGGGCTATACTTTGCACCGTGGAAATGCGAAGTCCTCTAAAGTTGGCAGCGACCAGCCCCTGCTCTGACCCTTAGTAGTGATCAGCTAGAGTCGTCTAGAAATGCAAGTATTTAAGCAGGTATATCAGTGCCAGTGAAATGGAAGATGAGATCATAAACCGCGTACCAAAAGCTCGAGGCGCTTTTGCCAAACTCTACTACCTGTGGCGCCGAGGCGACATCATTCTCCCCATGAAGAGCAGCCGTCCGTTCAACTCTCTTGTACGGTTGTCCATCAGGTCGACAGACATAAAGTGGCTAGCTACGTTCGATCATCGCTGCCTTTGCAGGTTAGACTTGGTGCTGTTGGTCCGTCTTTCCTTCCGGTCTTGATCTTGCACGACCCAGTTCGAGACGTTAAAGCACACTGCTCCCAACTGACATGATTCATTCAATTGTTCATTTGTTCTCCGAGCTTGGCGGTTTTGTCGCAAACGTTTCACAACCATGCGAGGTGGCATCCTCAGTACAGTTTGTTGCGGCGTGCAATCTTAATGACATGATTCATGTCAAGCCAAGTCATGGTAAACTTTATACACCCGTGTGGGAGTGTTTTCAGCAATTTACACTGACTCTACGGGCATACTACAACAGAAAATCTGGGGGGGGGGGAATGATGCGAAGTGATATGGAAAACCAAGAGTTCATTTTCAAATAAGCAAACGTTTTCGTAATTTATGCATCACCACTTTTGGGTCGACTAACAAGCTTGACAGATAGGGCACAATGGAGTGGCGAAACGAAGAATTACTGGAAAATATAACTTTCGACACTGTAGAAGAAATAGATGCCGTGCTTGCTAAAACTGTGCGTAGGGGGTGAGAGGGGTCGTTTAGATTCGTCGACGGCTAGTTTAAGAATACGCTAAATTGTATGCTTACCACTAAATCAACAAGGGATTCTCTGCTTAATCCGGAGTATCGGGAGATAAATTTTACTCATCGCACAAGAAAAGTATACCTATTTTGAATTATCTCGGGGAAAATAACAGGGGAACTGCACGGCCAATGGGTATTTACAAACCTTGGGATTAAATCACGCGCTAGGGAGAGCATTTTGAGCCTAGTGGATTAAAAGGATAGTCTTCTGACTTCTTGAAAAGTTTTGAAAACGTGTTAACCAAGGTAAATTGTTGGACAAAACTTCACCGAGATACTTTACGGAATATGAACAAAGGATGCTTTGCTCACTCATGACTAAAGAAGCACAGGCATTTAGACAAGTACGCAATCTGTCTGGGCGGAGAATAGAGCATGTGAGATCACAGCACTTAGAAGGGTTAAGAGAGCGGGAGGCTGACCCAGTACAGTGTTCCTCTAATCCTCACCGACGTTTCGATAATTTCTTTGTCATTGGGGTTATACACCCTCGAACGACGTCGTCAGCGTATTTACACTAGGAGAAACGGGTCGGTATTGGCAGACACAACTTAGAGGAAGAACTGCAAGAAGGATGGAATGTCTCCCCCCACAACTGACTGGGATTGCACAGGATCTTCTACCGCATAACTGCCGGAAGTATGTACGACTCTTAAAGTGGTCACGCATTACATTACATGCGTATCGAGGAACGATGTTTTTGAACGAAAGGTTTAGTAATAATGATCTGTCAAGGCTCCCAAATGCATTAGCACAATCAAGGAACATGAGCCGCACAGTCTTGCATCTTTTTTCCGGAGCAAATGCAATGGAATACACAAGATACGTAACGGCATCCAATGTAGAGTGCTCAGACTTCTATGCAAACTGTTTGTTAGAAAGATATTACACAGTGAATCGCTCAGCACCATTATATTACGCACCAGGCCCGATGGCTGGGCCATGTGTTACGCATGCCAGCACACCGACTCCTGCGACGTGCATTGATTGCGCGCCGGGGGTGCGGTTGGAAGAGAAGGAGGCCAAATGATGACTTGGTCGAGAGAAATGGAAACCGTCACTTCCCGATTGGCGTCGGATGGTGCATCCTGTCTGCTTGGCTGGGTCCTAAAGACGATGAACACGTTTGGTTGGACACACTTGCTGATATGGCGAATGGCCGGCCAAAGTGGCGTTTGTGTTGCGAATTTCTTAGTCCAACCCCTCGCTTTTAGATTCCCCCTCCAATTCCTATGTCCTACGGGTTGCATAATATAATATTTAACACTATATTACCTGCTTTTGAATTTTTTGTATTTTACCTTGTATCGCGGCACAGCTGAGGCGTGTTTCTAATCCTCAACTAGTGTGTATTGATGATAATGATTGTGCAAACTGTTTGATATCAGTCTTATGTTTGCTTGTAAAGATTCGGAGAATTCGTACTTTTTCAATCATCTTCAGTAACACCGAGGTGTGCGCTATTGGTGGATACCATTGTGATTCCTTCTTAAACAAAGATGTTATTTTTAGCTGCTTTCCAAATGGCGGGGATGTTGCTCATCGTTAAACATAGGTTGAAAATCTCTCCCTCAGCGATGACTAATGCATCCGCGCACTCGTTCAGAACGATCGAGGACAGAAAATCAGGGTCAATAGCCTTGCTTGTGAGTTCCTTGTGAACACTGATATGATCAAATAAGATGGGTCATTGGAGGGAACGTGTTTGATGATGATGAGCGAAATTTAGTGTTGAGCTTGTTCACATCCACATTGCCCAGTGGGCTACTGGAATTTTTGCCGGTGAGTTGCTTAAAGGGCCTCCACAGGTCATGGCAACCGTGGTTCCCTAAAACGGCTTCCATGTATGGGCTGTTTAACCCTTAAATCTCGGCTTTTATAGCCACAAACAGACATTTGACACTAGTCGCTAGCTGTTATTCGTAAGCTTGTACATTTTTCTACGCAGTTGCTTGACTAGTGGTGATGAACGTCTATCAATCCGAAGATAGATGGTCTTCATGGAACAACGAAGATTGAAACGGAATTTGACATAGTCTGTAGAGTGCTGGCGTTGAGCTGACAGATCGTCATTGGCGAAAATTGAGAAGTCGGTTGGATACAACGTCTACTGGAGTTTTGCAGTTCTTTCCGTTGAGTACTTTCGACGCTTAACAGTTTTAAATGGCCTTTTATCATCACAGCGTAGTTGGCCTTATAGTAAATGTTTGGTGAGGTGAAGTAATTGAATTTGCCAGATAACCTCCGTCGTCAATTTCTTACACTCAGATGAATCAGAACAATGACGCGGCCACGAAAGTATATCGCAAGCAATGGTGCATACAGAAAACGTATTGAAGCAAGTAACATGCGCTGAGTCCGGTCTTCGATCAGACAGGGAGGGACTTGGCCAATGAGCGCAATGAGAGGAAGGACGAAACACCCACACACATGTATTGATGGATACACACACGCGCGTACATTTGCAGTCAGTAGAGGCGACATGGAACACCGGCTGAGGGCGCATCACCCTCCAAGTACGGACCTTAAATTGGTTCGTTCAAGCAAATGGAAAATGAGTTGTAGAAACAGGTTGAAAGAGTTATCTACAGTGAGTAGTGTAGAACAGTGTTCCAATCACAACAGCGACGGTCGAATTTGAACACCTCGCCAATGTCGTGTTTACTACCATTTCTTTCTCAAACTGACTAAATTATCTGTGAATATGATGCGGAGTAGAAAAAGCCAAAAGAAATCGTTTCTTTGATATCGTCTTATTTTCGCACGACAGCCACTTGCTTTGTAGTCCGCATTGTTGGCAGTTTAGATACGTTTGTCCTGCATGATAATTGCTTAGAGCATTCCGGTTTTATGACAGGTCTTTTCGTTCCCCATCCGTAGAGTTATCGTGATTGTATGGCAGCGAAGCTCCAGTGCCACAGGCTGATGTGCTGTGATATGTGACGACTATGGTGGTCTCATTGCCTCCTGTTTGAGTGGTATACTTGGTATGAAGTACTGTTTCCTGCTCTCTTTGGGTACTTTTGTATCGGTCTGTTTTCTCCTCGATACCTCGACTTGACTATAGTGTGGATGCATGCATGGGTGCGCCAACCGCAGCGCAATGTTCCCGGTTGACCATTTCCCGCAATTTACGATGCGGTCGAGCCCACCGTTGCACTTCGTTATTGAATCACGCTGTTTCCCACGCGTATTCCGATGTATGCTACGTGATGCTCTTCAAACCTTGTTGTGTACTCATGTGGTTTGCTTAACTGAATTCGCTTTCGTAATATCCCTTCTCTTGTCTCAGTCGTCAAATGCATCATCCTCGCCAGTCCTGGATTTGTCCGGGAGCAATTTTATGAATACCTCATTCAGACCGCAATCAAACAGGATAAGCGTGTTTTCATGGATAACAAGGGAAAATTTCTCCTGGTTCACTCATCATCCGGTCATAAGCATGCATTGAAGGAGGTTCTCACAGACAGCGCCGTTCTGAGCAAGTTGGCAAACACTAAAGCGGCTTCTGAAGTTGCCGCCCTAAATGATTTTTACCAAATGATTAAAACAGACCAATCAAGGGCTTTCTACGGGTAAGTTGATACCGAATTGATCGTCCATACCTGACCGACATGAATCCGCTCGTAATACGCTTTGTTTCACACGCATACCTATGTTGCCACTCGCCACGTCCCAGCTTGAGTGTTCACTGCTATTAGCAGCTGTCTACAACGTCGAAATACATGTCATCCTCGACTGTAAGTTGTTCAGGTGACACATTAATGCTCCGTGCTACCTCACTTTAATATTCTATTAATGCCTCGATGTTATACTCCCAGTTGTTTCATTTGCAACAATGGACCGGATAATCGGCTCTCCGATCAATTGTGCCAGTCGGAATTCCGTGACGCTTATTCTTACTGTGATTGTCATATCGCATGATATCGTAGAACGCGCAGTCCACAGCGATATGATGATCACCGAATATGACCAAGCGTTATTCTTGAAGTCACAATTAGTTAGGTGTGACTGCACATAGCGCGATGGATCATTATTCTCTTTAACTTTGCTGCCCTCTCGACGCCACAACTTCGTCTTGCTTTGGGACCATTGATCTGTCTTTGTCCTTTCAGATATCGAACAAGACACCGATAAATCACGAGTTTTTGCTTGTTGGACTTTTGGCCCTACATGTTCACTATAGAGCCAGCCTTCAACTATTGGAAGACGAACTTTAATGGCCTTACTCGAGCAGCGAGCCAGATGGACTGGTCTTTACCAGAGGATTCGTCTATTGAAACCTGTTGGACTATCATTAAAGAGGGAGTGAAATCGTTGTGCGCCCAATTTGTATCCCTCAAGTTGGGTCAGTCAAACCACACCGGTTCGACAAAGAGTACAGCAAACTGGCCCAACGATGACACAGACTATGGAACAAATTCGTGTTATCTGGCTCTGATGAGGACTACAAGACGTACAAGGTACAGCGAAACCTCTGCAACAACGCGAAAACAAAAAACGCAGAAGCTTCGAAGAGCGGCTTGCAACCGCCGCAAAAACTGCTCCCAAGAGGATTTTCGCATATGTGAAGCGGCGCCTGAGAGGCCTGCAGATAATTTTCCAGTATTGGAAGGCTCAGATGGACAGCCCCCAACCTCTAGCATTAGCGGCACACTTTGCCTCCGTGATCAGGTGCCTGTAACGAGTTCGACGAGTACCGCTCCCAATGAACTTGACAGCCTAGACTGCAGCATTGAAGATGTACGCAAGCTTCTAACAACTCTTGACGGGACGATGCCTGCTGGGCCAGATGGAATCCACCCACTGATTCTCAAGTCCCTATCGGCCATCATCTCGCCTTCTGTAACTGAGCTGTTCAACAGGTCACTATCCACTGGAATATTACCGGGCGACTGGAAATGCTCAGTCGTAAAGCCAATACCGAACGTTGGTAACCCAAGCAAAGTGGATAATTACCGGTCGATCTACTTGACTGCTGTTTTGGCAAAGACGTTCGAGAAGATCGTGAAGAAGAGTCCTCTGCAGCTTCTCGAGTCGAAAAGCCTCTTGACGCCCGTACAGTATCGTTTCGTGAAAGGTCGCTCGTGCATCACCAACCTGCTGTTGACGAGGCACGAATGGTTAGAAACGCTGAACCAAGGCCAATTAGTCGACATCATTTACATTGACTTCAGTAAGGCTTTTGACAAGGTTAACCATGCAGTGCTCCTCGACAGGCTGAGGGTGTGCGGTGTTGGTGGCTCGCTGCACCACTGGATCATGAATTTCTTTGTTGCTCGAAAGTGGAGGGTCCAGATGGACAACCATGTAACCGACTGGTATTCATCAAGTAGCGGCGTGCCCCAAAGCACTGTACTGGGGGCGATTTTGTTTCTGATCCATGTAGACGATGTGCCTCAGCTACTCCATTCACCTTGTGCGTTGTTCGCAGATGACTTGAAGGTGTGGAGAGTAATCCGTGCACCCAATGGCGGTGACCTGCTTCAACAGAAACTCAACCGATTCTCCACGTGGTTTGCAGAGGTCAAGCTTTCGATCAACCCGGTCTAGTCGCAACACATGAAGCTGAGTAAGTGTGAGCGCAGTCAAACCTACACAGTGGCAGGTCAGCCGTTGCATCTCCCACCTTTCGTGCGAGACCTCGGTGTACTCACACAACGACAACACGAATAGGCTTTACCAAAACAGCCTTTGAATGCTTTGGGTGCTCAGGCGCAGCTTCAGCACTTGGTCCGAAGAAATTGTCCCTCGCCTCTTCGTCTCAATAATACGACCAATGCTAGAGGAGTATGGTTCCCTCGCATATTGTCCTAATACCCGGAGCGAGGTAGAAAAGATTGAGCAAGTGCAGCATGTAGCCACCAGGCTGATTCCCAACTTACGAGGTGTGCGGTACGAAGACTGGTGTAAGAAACTAGGGCTGTATACCATAGCTTATTGTCGAATGCGGGTTGACCTCATCATGACGCACCGGATATTACATCTGGGAGGTTACCTCATGTTGAAACCGCTGCTTCATCTATGCACACCAAGCAGCACACGAGGATACCGGTACAAGCTTGTCGTACCGGATTTGAAGCGGGTCGCTCACCAACTCTGTTTCGAACGCAGATTGGTGAATGTATGAAACGACCTGCCGCAGCACGTAGTTGAGGCAAAGTCGGTGTCGGAATTTAAGAAGTTCCTGGACAAACACTTCTCCGGCGCAAAATATATTGAGCGCAATACAACATAACGGGTCTTTGTCCCTGAGTGACATTAGATGCGGCTACTCACAGCAAACTCTACTTGCTGCTTCGAACCAGTAATCGTGAGTTGCAGTCGAACACTTAGAACTCTGTTCCCCTTCACTGACCGACCCTAATGCATGCTCTGCTCCTCTACAGACGCAATGTCAGATTGGTGAGACATTCCTCATTTTACTGCTCAATGTTGATGGTCATCATCTCATTAGTTATGAGGTCCCCACCAGTGCGGAAAAACCCGAACATAGTTATCATCATGTTGTAGATAGAATAGCTGATGCCTTCGGCTTCGTTGTGTCAAACCCGAAAAGCGTGTGAGCTTCAGCAAGCCTCATGTGGATATCCTGGTTAGGGTAATTCTCTTTAATGATATAAGTAGGTAAATGTTTTAATAATAATCTCGTCACAAGCGCCACTTCAGCTCAGTTCAAGTGAGAACAGGTTCGAGACACCCGAACGGGTGCATTTTTAGCATGAATACCATTCATCCGGATGCAATCATAAAGGAATAAAATAGGTAATATATGCAGTTGAAACGGAAAAAAGAGAACAGCATTACGCCGGTACACCGTACCGATGCTTAGCAGCTACCCTACAACCACCACCAGTCATGCGTGGGCTAGGGATACTCCGAGGATCACCCGGTCCCCTACACAGACTCGGACTGGTGATCTACGGGTTTCATGCCAGACACCGTGTCTTTTTGGCCACCGGCCGGCAGTTGACATTTAAAGGTAACGGTCATGCAGCGCACTGCATCCTATGGTAACTAGTAAGTTGGGGTTGCTATATGAAACAATGTTTCAATAAGTTTTGCGTAGCTAGAACAAACGGACAGAACTTTCACGTGTGTTCATGCAGCAGAGTAGTCATTGGTAGGGGTAGGTGCGTTAATCTGTCTACCAATAATGCACCAAGATTGTCCAAGACTGTGATCTATTGATTTCATAATGAAAGTAACCCTTCCAAGAGAGCAGTACAAGCAGCGGAGGAGAATGCATTTGGTCTAATTTTAAAACCGTATCACAAAATGTTGAAAGCATTTTAACCCTTAGGGTACCGGATAATAGTCTACCAACTCTAGACATCTCACAAACTTGCGGTGACCAAAAACAGTAAAACACTTGACGTTGAAAAACTATCCTCTATTCGCTGACAGTTGGAGAATCGGCTGTGGATAGCCTAAAACGGTGTTCTAATAAAAGCAGCGAGAACCCTCTAAAATGCCATTTCAGTGGAACAGTTGTTGTTTCTTTTGCGTTTAACATAAAGTGGCTTTCATCAAGAACTCAATGGTTCGCCTTTGTTTTCCTGTCTTTTAGCAACAATTTATATGTTCAATCTTTATGCGTCTCGTAAATTATTAACTATTTGGCGCGGTTTTGTTGCACAAAAAGATCGAACGGGTCCAACACGTTGCTACCATGCTCATCCCGAGTTTACGTGGCTTTGGGTATGAAGACCGGTGCGAGAAACTAGGGCCTACACTTTGTCCTACCGTCGGGTGCGAGTCGACCTCATTATGACCTACCGAATTCTACATCTTGGTGAGTTCCCCATGCTAAGGCCAATACTGCACTTACGAGGGCCATGCAGCACACGCGGACACAGATACAAACTTGTCGTGCCGGATATGAAATGTATTCCCCACCCACTGTGCTTCGAAAGGAGAGTGGTAAACATTTGGAACAGTTTGCCCGAACATGTGATTGAGACAACATCTGTGCAGCAGTTCAAAACGTTGTTATATTTGTATTTTGCCTCTATTCGATTCAGAGAACGACTGCACACTTAAGATGACATATCAAATTTGTGATTCCTGAAATATCGTAAGTCAAATATTTTACATATTACATGAGAACGACAATGATATTCACGGCTGACAACTTTTATAACATTTTCGCCATATTTCGAAAGAGTTGTACAGAATCCATTTCTACTTGCTCTATAATACAGTGTTCAGTATATTCAGTATTCATCTTAGCCCTTTACACTTGCTTAGTCCATTGTGTTCACTCAATTATTGACTACCAGATACAAGCACGTCAAGGCAGCGGCCGACGCCTTCGCGGTAGATACGCTGCTCGTCTCTGATGCCCTATTCCGCTCTCGTGATTTGGATGAACGACGTCGTTATGTGTCCCTGGTGGATGCAGTCAAAGAAGATCAAGGCAGTGTGCGGATATTCTCCAGTTTGCATGTCTCCGGTGAACGTAAGTTTCTTCTTACTTTAATGCGGGATTTGTGAACATCTTTTGGGATCATGTTCCACATCGCGGTTCGGTGATAATTCGTGTCTAACTACGAACCATCGCCATTGTGAGGGTTGCAGTTCCAGACTTAATTAATTGTTTTTCGGTTTCACAAACACATTCCAGAGTGTCTTGCACTACTATCCAACACCGAACCCACCCTAATGTTGTATTTAAAGTGTGTGATCTCCAGTGTCCAAGTTCAGTGCACGTCGTTGTGATTCGCAAATTTTTATTCGCTTTGCAAGTTTTAATTGGACGGTTCTTTGCGAAGTCTCCGACAGTCCTCCAGAGTGCGTCCCGCAATTCGTTTCAAAACTGGTGGGCGGATTTCGCACCTAGGAATTGGCGAAATTTAGTTATTCCAAGCCAACAAGGAGTCTTCGTGCGTCCCTTTTCTTCATCAGTCTGTCTGGTTGTACGAAATGATTCATATTTGTCACTGCAGTAAAACCAAAGGACTCAACAACCTCTCGCGAATCTGTCCATTCAAGGTTGAAACTAGTTGTCGAGTGAAGTGTTGAGGACGAGCAACGCAGAAAACGTCTGCAATTCCGCAAATCTCTGTTCAAAAGGAGTCACTCTCTGGTAATTGGAACGGGTAGCCAACGTTATTATGTTGTGTTCTCTCGGTCGAGCGACGCTCCACTGCTTGAACACTCACAGGTAATGAAACTCTCGGTATCTGTCCATACTATTTGCACCCAATTACTACACGACACTCGTCTAACCGACTGTGGAGCGCCAAATGCTTGGGATAGAGTTTCGATACGCCGAATTCGTCGAAATGGGTGCGGAAGGCTAGTGTGCGATCAAGAAGTTAGTGACTAACCAGAAGGCTAGCTAATTTGGCCAATTGAAGCTCGTCCCTTCAGAGAGGAGATTGGATCTTTAACGTCGTGCAAAGGCTTGTGTGTCTCTAGGATCCATTGAGCTATCCTGCATGGTGCTTTTTACATCTTCAGAGCTACTCATACCAGATCGGTCAATGCTTAGATGCTAGACTCAGTCTCTTGATCCTCTAGATTTCGGGTTGGGATGAGGGTGGCCTTTTACTCTACAAAACGGACTCTGACCCAGTGCCAAAACACCGTTGCTTTGTGGTCAGGTTTTTTAACCAAAGGCTTTTGTTGACAACCCTATACGTTCTCTTGCCTAGGCATAGACAACCAGACAGTATCCTGCCCAGGCAATACAATACAATAACTCTCTACAAAAATTAATAAATGTTACATACAGGACTTTCCCTTTAAAAACGTCATAATAGCAGGAAGCAGCATTTCAACAGTATATTCTGAATTCAGATATTTCGTGTCTTCTCATCAACTGTTGACAGACAATTAGCGGAACTACTAAAATGTAAAATGAGGTACAAAGTTGTTCGGTTTACATGAAGATAATCGATAACTCCTCACCAGGGTAAGGCTAGGGTAGTCAACAATTCTGTCTGCTTACATAAGTTGGGCTTCAGCCTACGGATCGCTGAGGCTTCTGCAAACTGAAACAGACGGGCAGTGTATGTATGTAGAAGGAGTGTGCGCTGGCTCCGTTGATCTAACATGGCTCCCATCCACGTGCCTCCCGGTCTTATTCCTTCGGGTTTACACTGGATATGTGGTGTGTGGATGCACCTGTGGGTGGTGCAGCGCAAGCTACGTATGGTCCCTCTGTAGGCGCAGGCGTCCTGTGGTTAGACAGAGTGACAGGCAAATCCGGAAATGAATGCCGCCAACCATGTATGTAATCTCATTCCACCTTATTTGGTTTCTCCAGCGTACCTAAATAATCTATTAACTTGCACTAGTTCCTTACGCTAATTGTGGTTGCCTTCCTTAATTTTATGGCGTTTGCAACATATTTTGAGTGACTTATGGACATTTTGTACTTATCGCGGATTCATTGCTAATCAACTTACTTCATATGCTAATTTAACGAAGGGTTATGTCGGCATAGCGTATGCTTTAACATATATATTTTATTTGATAATGTTATTTCAAGTGATTGGTTGTTGTTTGATATCCCCAGTGTGGCTGCGCTTGATGTGCACGATGACAAGGTGTCGACCCGTCTTTTACCCACTACCTCGTCCATACTCGATGCAGGAGCCAGTTGACCGTTGCTGGAGGGGACGGGGTGCACGGTCCTTGTGGTCGTGCTAGGCTCGAAGAGTGGTTCCATGCACTCGGTGTGGAGCGGACTACGGTCCAGCCACCGTCTTGTGTGCGCTTGATTCCCAACTACAACGTGCTTGTGTTTGCCTGCTAAAGAGTGTGGGCCGGCTGGGTTGATGAAACGTGGCTCCCATCCACATGCCTCCCGGTCTTATTCCTTCGGGTTTACACTGGATATGGGGTATGTGGTTGGAGCTGTGGGTGGTGCAGCGCAAGCCATCCATGGTCCCTCAGTAGGCGTAGGCGTCCTGTGGCTGGCCACAGAGACAGGCAAATCCGAAAACGGATGCCGCCAACCATGTAATCTCAACAGTCTAGCCAGTAGACATAGAGCCAACAAAGCCATGGAGATTAGCAGGTAAGGGGAAGTCGCTACGTCATAATCATCGTGGCATAGTAGTCGAAGGTGATCAACACTCTTCAGCTACTATGTCGCAGGAAGATAGGAACATTTTGACAAAAGTAGAACAAAACTTTTGGTTCATATTTCACTTGCCGATTTTTCTCTTTTTTGTCATTTTCAATGTTTGAAGTATTAAACATGTGAATCAATACAATTCTGTACACAATTCTTCCACTGATTCTGGTTGCGGGCCATGTCTTCAAGTGTTAAGCCATTGGCACTCCTCATATTTGGGTGCCTACCCTGGAAGACGTACGGATCCAACAGCAGCTAGACACGACGCCAGCGATTTCATGTGTTGCCGCCAAGTGGAAGGTTGACCACGACGCGGTCGCCTCCAGCCAAGTCCTTGACGAGCGAATAGAGCGCGACGCGGTAGACACTCAGGTGTTATGCGTAGGACGTAACCGAGCCATCTCATCTGACGCAGCAAAACCAGTTTGTTTAAGGGAATACTACCATTCCCTAAGATGCGACTTCGAATGTCATTAGTGTTAACTCCATGTTGCCACCAAACACGAGCAATCCTCCTTAAGCAAGCGTTATCGAAGGCAGAAAGAGGACGCATGTCTTCCACGCGAATCGGCCAGGACTCACTCCCATACAGCAACACTGAGCGAACAGATGCGCTGTAAACGTGTCCCTTTAGCGAGAATGAGACGTCGCGACGACGCCACAAGTGCCTCAGACTGGCAAATGCTGATCGGGCTTTGGCGATGCGAAGAGAAATTTCTTCGCTGACAATGCCTTCAGCAGAAAATACAGCTCCCAAAGTAGACGAAACTATATACCTGTTCAAGTTGTGCACCTTCGAGAGTGAGCACGGGAGCATGGGAAAGCCAATCCTTGAGCAGTACTTCACACTTCGATGGGGCGAAGCTCATGCCATAGCTGATTCAACCGCCAAACGATCCAGAATGATTTGCATGCCCTGAGGATCGTCACCAAGTAAGGCGATAACATCAGCATAATCTAAGTCGGTCGCGAGCTCACCCGGTAGAAGCTCTAAGCCAAGATGTTCGAAACCTTCTAGAGCATTGGACAGAACCTCTTCGATTGCGAAGTTGAAGAGGAAGGGGGACATGGGGCAGCCCTGTCGCACACCGCTATTGACAGCGAATTGCGAGGAAAGCTTGCCATAGACCCTCACTCTGCCGGGTGTATGAAGGTAAAGTGCTCGTAAGATGGTGGTATATTTTCTGGTACCCCATTCTTTAGCAAGTAACACCATAAAGCAGGTCGGAGTCAAAGCGGTACGTATGTCTAGGAATGTAACGATAGCGGGCCTGCGATGGCGATGTTCGAGGAGCTGGCGGAGCGTGAAGATTTGATCCACGCATACGCGGATAGGGTAGGATGACTTACATATTCGGGATAGTCTACGGGTCAGAATCGATGCCAATAGCTTGGAGACAACCGAAATAAGACTAATCCCGTGACGATTTATACATAAAGTGCGAGCGCATTTCGTAAAAATCGGGATAATAACTGATTTGCCCCAAAAGGAAGGCACTTTCTATTCATGCCAGATTTTTGCGAACAGCGAGGTCAGCTGGTTAATGATCGCCACGTCGCGGTACTTGAACAGTTCCAGAAGAAGTCCGTCTGAGGCGGTAGCCTTAAAGCGCTTCAAGCGTCAAATCTCGAGGCAGACTTCTGCTTCGCTGGGTGGATTCAATGGGACGAGCCAGGGTGAACAACAAGGTGTACTGCATGTACTGATGGACGGTGGAGGCCGGTTGAACCGCGAGTGAAACTGCTCGACCCAGCTGTCCATACGCCTCTGTTAGTTGGTGATTGGAGACTCATCCTCATCGCAAATAACCTCACTGACACCAGGCTTCCTGAGGCCAGTGGACCGAATGAGTTGGAAAATCCTGTGGGTGTTGCAAGAGAGGGCAGTGGTCTCCATCACTAAAGTACGCTCATACCACCGTGTCTCGCGATCCTTGCGTTGGCTTTGCTTGAGCAGCCGGTTGGCAGAACGGCGCCGCTTGTTGCAATCTGATTTCGCGGGGATATCTTTGCGGTGTTCGAACAGAGTCAGAGAACGAGCAGAGATCCAAGCCTTTAAGGGGCGTCGAGCTGGGCCGCAGCTGGACTGTCCGGAAATAGTCATCGCTTTCCATATAAGTCCAGTGTTGCTCCACGTCTTGCAGTGGATTGCAACTGAGTGCGTATGCTAGTGAAGACTGATAGCTCGCCTGAACAGGGGAATCAGTTGATCTGTTTACATCAATCTTGTGGTGCTTCGTGACCCCCCATAACACATGTAGATTTTCCTGCAGACCGGTGTATGATCTGAGTCAACGAAGGTGGACCGAAACTACCTGCAGTCCAGTACGCCGCCACACCACTGAAGCTAATTGCAATGTGATAAATTTGAG